CAACCAACAACAAAACAAACAAACAACACCCCCAAAAAACCCCCAAACTAAAACAACAATCCGAAAATCTCAGACATTATAAAGGGCCTGCATAATTCTAGATCTATGCATTTAATTAGATCTAGATTTTATGTGATCTGTTGAAGCTTGCCGTTCGATTCTCTTCGCCAATTTCGGCATTCAGTACCGGACGGTCTAGAATCTAGATTCTTCTCAGTGACGATGTCGCTAAGAGGCTGAGACAAGATAAAGTACATTAAGATTGCAGACATAGAGTTGCAACCTATTAGCTTGACAGGTTCAGATGTAGGGATATTTGGCTATGTCGGCGAGTATAGCCCAAATAAAGTTACCCGGGGTGGTTGCCGTATTTTGGCTGGCCTGCATAAGCCCGGTTTGAAGAGCGCCTCTGCCCATTCAAAAGTATTGAATCTTGGAAACGAAATATGTCTAGCATCCTTATTCGCCCATTCTCGTCATCATTTCCAAGAACCTTGCGTTTCACCTTTTCATGCTTTTTAAAAATTGTCGTTGAATCGTTTTTTAAAATATATTTTTTTTTACAGAAACCTAAAAAGATATCTTATTTTTTGTGGTTCTAATACATTGATTGGTAAGGAAATGCTTTGCATTATTATATAAAGTTGAACTGTGTTATTCCATAGTGGAGTACTTATTTTGGGCTACTTATAGAACAAAGAAGGTCACCTGTTATGGAAAACGAACGAATTTTAAAATATAAACCTAATGATACAAATATGTTTGCAAAAGGAAACAAATACGATGTTATGCTTTTCATCATATTCTGACCAGATGGGTTTGGAGCCTCACCAGAAGGGCTTGGGTTCTGATGAGTTGGGTTCAGATCCTGGCTGTGGGCGGACGAAAGGATGTTTTACAAACTGCCAAACAAGCGACGTGTGCACCTACAGTATTTCATGGGTTCCAGGAAACAACACTGTATCTTTCAAGTTTATCTACCTGATGGGAGGCCAAACAGACCAGTGGATCGCCATCGGACTTTCCCACGACACTGTTATGGTTTGTTACATCTTCTTACTGACATTCTTTAAATGATGATACAATTAAATACGATTAGTGTTTATTGCCCACACACTAGCATATTCGTTAGGTGTTTAACGATAAACACACTCACACACATACACATACACACACCCATACAAATACTCACACACGCGCACACAGACAAACACAGACACACAGACACACACAGACGGACACACAGACGGAGACACAGACAGACAGACACATACACACAAACACTCACACAGCTACACACAACTCA